AGCTAGCTAGCGCCACGCCTCACCTTGACGATTCACATTCCCAACTACTGTAGGTCTTCCTCGCAGAACAACGCACCCAACCCTCTTAGCCGCCTTCTTTCACGGCGCGAAACGTGCATGAACAATTTGACGCGCGTCGAACGTCGCGCGTCGCGCGCGAAAGTCGTGAGTGTGTGACGCGAGACGCGACACATCGTTGTCCCCCGCGCGAGGCATGACGATTGGGCATGCTGGGCGACAGCGGGTGAATGAGTCAGAGTGGCGGATGGATGTGTGCACGTCTCGGAAGAAACACACGCTGCTCTGTTGCCTGCATGCGTGTGATTGTAGGCGTCAGCGCGGCATGAAGAACCCGACCCGCGCACATTGCACTCACGCGTCCGCCTGCTGCCTTTGTGATTTTGCCGCATTCAAGATTGCTCGATCCCTCCCGCGCAGCAAGGCTAGCTGGCCACCTCTCAAAAAACAAAAACTCCGATTCACCCACCTTTCTAAGAATTCCTTTCGTGGGCCCCGCGCGCCACGACTTCTAGACTCACTCGTGACTTTGTACCGACGGCCGCTCGCTCGCCCTGCTTGCTGCTTGCATTGCTGGCTGAAGTTGTTGAGATTGCAATTCGAATGTGAATGCGCTGGTGGCATTGCGTGCCTGTGGGAGGTTCGCCATATGCGCAGGTGAGTGTGTAAGGGACAAGGTCGGGGTATCATCTCCATTGACGCCCTGCCGAATCGAGCGGCTGGGCGATGATTGCTTTCTGTATAGGCTTCAGACATTCAAGATTCAAATGTGTGGAATCATGTTTGTGATTCCTTGCGCGAACTCGGGCGGCATTCAACATTAGACTGGAGGGCATGTCAAATGTGTTCAGCGTCCAGCTCGCACGGATTTGTGATGTGATGCGATGCGATGCGATGGCTGGCATCCATTCATTGATTGAGGATCTATGACCGAGCTCTCATACTGCACCGAGACCCTGCCTGGCATGCCGCGCCTTTATCGCTTCGGTGACCAGTCATCCCGTGCGATCTGTCTTCGGCATTCGGCGATTAGAGGGGAACGCAGTAGGACATCTGCATGTTCGCTGCAAGCACTCGTGACTCGTGAGAGCTGGGAACGCACTCAGTGACTCACACACTGTACCTACCAAGCTCCCTCCTCGTCTACCACGCGTCCAAGGCACAAAAGTGATACGATACGATACCTCTATGCTGGTGAGGCTGCATCTGAGCAAGTGTAATACCTGCGATACTTGTGCAAAGAAGTTGTGCCGCTTTCGCTTCAAGAGCTTCATCTTGCGCTGGCATTTTGCATGCGCATGGAATGAACAGAAGGATCTTCGCGGGACAAAGAAAGAGTCACGAGTGCAAGCACCGAGTGCCGGGTCGCGGGTGGGAGCCTCCCTTCTTCGTACGTGCTTGTGCCCTGCAGCTGCCCGCGTCCACGAGGTCCGTCTGATGGCGGATGCAGGGCAGCCATGCAAGGTTGCATCGTGCGTGCGTACTAACTACAGACTACTGTACAGCTGACAACGACATCGTCGCGCGTGCGAGAGAGAGTATTCACGATTTGGTCCAGGTGAGGTGAGTTATCGTTCTAGGCGACCCATGCATCTGAACAGACGATCTTGCTGCAAGCTACATTCACGATTAGCAGCGATGAGGGAGGGTCCTTTTGACAGCTGATCACCCTCAGTTGTTGTACATATGTAGGTAGATCATTGCGCGCACACATACAGCAGTCACGAGTACAGC